TATTACCAAGGCAAAATGGCGGCTATCGAAGCAACGGTTGGCAAGATCAGCGATTTTCTGGAAGCTTACTTTTGAGTACTCTATCCGACGTTGGCAACTTCCCATCTTGGCTTGCCATCTTCCAAAGACCCTAAATTATACGACTGAGAGTAACGGCCGGTAGCTGCGATCATTCACACCAAGATGGAACCAGATTTCGCCTGTCACCTTCGTCTCTCTCAGCTGCGGCCTTCAGTGAAGCGACACATAAACAACAAATGCAGCAAGTTGCTTACGGCGGCTGCGCGGTCTGGCCTCATTTTCATGCTGAAGCCTCACCCTTTTGAATAAAATTTACCAAAAGAACTTTCCTTGCATCAAATTTGATAAAAATCCGATTTGCAAAGGAGTGCAAAACTAGAAATATAAAATTTCGAAATTTTTCTCGTTGATTCCAATGAAGCTTTTGTTCTCAGCGAAACGGCGGGCGTCTTAATTAAGACGCCGCAAATATTGATCATCTTGTCCCGACCTGACAATGGCCAGCAACCGCGCAAGGAAAAAAATGATCGCCGTTTTTCCTGAGAGTCAAGAAATAATTTTCACAGGTTATTTCGCGTACAACGATTTAAATGCTAAATTTAGGGTACCACACAAAGCAGAGCCATTGGTGACTTTGAAAATCGTGGTTTTCGCTGGCGTGTAATAAGATCTGAGGAACTCGTTTGCTTCTTGTTGTCAGGGGTACTCGTTCCCTATATTACCATAACGTGTAAATAAACCAATGAAATATTAAACACCAATTTCACGCCAATAAAATTAACCTTCTTTGGGGTTGGTAATATGAGAAACATTGGTCTCGCGAAAATATGCTGGGATATTTGTCCGCGAACATTATGTAGACCTGTTACGAGAAACGAACAGTTTTCCTGAGGACCAAGCTCTAGGAAAACGACGAGCTACAGGGGAATATTGGAGGATATCATTTGGAATATATCACAAGATATTCCTAATTTTTTTAGCCATGGCATATTCAATCAGATGATGCGTTTGGTCCAATCGAGAGCACGCATAACAATTGTTTGATTATAATGGAGGACATTAACTTCTTACTAAACGTACGCGAGGGCCGTACTGAAAGTACGGACCGGGCATAACGTAACGAGGTCCGTACTAAAACAACCAAGAGCCAATATTCCTCAGTACCACTCGAGCAAGCATAGTTAGTAAATAGTTCACTATACAGCACTTGGACCAAACTTCTTTACTTTGAATTTGCCCGCTTGCATGAACGAAAACACATGGCTTAGGGCCGTCTCCGTGGAAACAGTCCGTATGGCAAAATCCCTACCAGCTAAGAACCAATAAGAACGTTCTGATTTACTTCAGGACTAACTTGTCATATAATATAACTGAATATACAAATCATGTCAGAAAAAAATAGAAAAATGAGAAACTGAAATGAATCGCGCCAGGACGCCCGCTGAACCCCCTTACTGAGATGCGTCGGCGCAGAAACTTAGGAATTCATTTTGTATTTTTGGTGAAGAAGAGTTATGTTTTATTGAATTTGCTCTTATCATAAGCGCAGTAGGACGAGCGTTTCTCCGTCCGCGGGAAGATTGGAGACGAGTTGGAGAGAGGTTTCCCCGGGGTGTAACACTAACTGATGATTGTTGGACTCCTCGCATGTTGCAAACCTCTCGCCGGCTCGCTCGTGCCAGTGCTCAAGACTTCAAACTTTTCCGCGGGCGAAAAACGCTCGAGCTGAAGCGCTGATGACGAGAGCCTGCTCGCCGCCTAACATATGGATCCGATATATTTCTTATACTGCTGCCAATGAGAACACCTGGATGCGATCATTGAACGTGTCCGCGACATAAAGATGACCTTTTTTGTCCACAGCAACTCCTGCAGGGAACATCATTAATCCATCCCCCTGACCTTTTCCACCAAATTTAGTGGCAAAAGTTCCATTTGGATGAAACATCTGCACCCGGTGGTTACTTCGATCCGCAACGACATATTGCCCCTGGTCATCTACGGTAATACCCGCCGGATTGTTCAGTAACCCGTCGGCATTCCCCCGAGAGCCAAACTGGAGGGCGACTGAACCGTCCTTGTTAAATACACACACCCGGTGATTATTATAGTCTGTCACTACAATATGACTGTCTTTGCTTACAGCCAACCCCCACGGGCATGACATTTCCTTAGACACAATCATCCCCCTAGGGATTCCCTCACGGGAAAATATTTGAATCCTGCTGTTACCGGAGTCGGCCACGTAGATGACGTCATCCGAGTCAATAGCGACACCAAGCGGATTTTTAAACTTTCCAATTTCATCGCCGAACCCTCCGAAGCATTTTACGAGTCTACCCGATGGTGTGACAATCTGCACACGATGGTTTTGACTATCAGAAACAATTATTAGGTTTCCTCGCCGATTTAGCGCCAAGCAGTACGGGAAGTTAAATTGCCCTTCGATCATTCCCTGAGATCCAAATGATTTGAGCACCTCTCCATTCAAAGAAAGAATTTTAACTCTGTGATTATGAGAATCTGCTACCAAAAGATGGTCGTGGGAGTCAGCGATCACACTGTACGGGTGAGAAAATCCTCCACAGTCTTCGCTCTTTAAAATAAGCTGACTGCCAATCCAGTCTCTTGGTCTCACTGTGACTGTGACAGGACTATCCGCCACAGGACTCCCATTTATACTAACATGCAGCCAGTAGGTGTCTGGTTTGTTGATGACGTAAGCTAAGGAGTACGTCCCATCTTTGTTGTCCTGGCAACCATATTTAAACCCGGCGTTGTCCGGCGTCACCCTTGAACGAGCCAATGAGAATGACAGCTTCACTTTATCCCCTCCACGTTGCTGTCTTTTTCCTTGTTGATTGACAGAAGTCAAAGACATCCGATTGACTTCCCCAGTGATCACTTGTTGGGTCTCTTTGGCGGGAGACAAAATGCATAATGCAGGCTCGCAAGGCGTACTCGAGGACTGCATTTTTACGTGACCTAAATGGTTTATATCATTAGTAATTTTCTCGCTCTCTGCCACAAATTCAAGCGAGGCGCGCATTTCATTTCCAGGATGATATGTAGTAGATTTCCGTTCAACTTCGTCGACAAGAGAGGTTAAACGCTGAGTAACAATCTGGCCGATGCTTAATATTTCTAAGTCAGTGCCTTGTTTTACGGCGGAATCGGTGAAGAAACAACAGCTGTTTGCATGTGTCACAGTCTGTTGTAGTATCTTTTGTTTTGAAAACAAAGCCTCTAACTTGGTGCTACAATGAGCTTCGACCTCATTTACAAGTTCACACATGCGATCTTTCATCGCTTCGATCAGTTTCTGAAAATACTCCTCAATACTGAGTCGAATCTGCTTCTTCTTGTTTTCAACCGTCGAAATGTCCTCTTGAATAAGAGATATTTGCTCAGTGATGTGTTTCTGCTTTCCTTTCAACTGCTCGGCAAGATTTACCATGTTAATTTTGAACGTTTTTGTGATATCAGTGATTCTGCGACATTCATGTTGCTCGTGTTCAGCGAGCGAGCATAATCGACAAACAATTTGTGAGCAAGTTTGACAGAAATAAAGTAATCGCTCTTTCACGTGGATAGAACAGAAGGATTGTCTTTGGTCATAATTTCCTTTAAAAATTTGTCCCCTAAGCTCCTCTACTGACTGTAAAGTATGCGTTTTAGTAGCACTCATTCGGCGATGTGCTGTAGAACAAAATTCGCACAGGAATAGGAAACAATCATTGCATCGTGTCGTAACGCTTTCTCCTTCGGCTTCACAGCTATCACAGACAAATTCCAGCGGAGTGTGATCTTGTACGGCTGCCTTATTGACCAGGTTGTTAACGACAAAATTGATAGGAAACTCGCTGCGCACATCCAGCACCTTTGAACACACTAAACAACTTGGTAAGCTTCCATTTCTTGGCGAAATCTTTTCACCATCAATGCACTTTTTGCACAACGTATGAAGACAAGGAAGCAATAATGGTGACACGAATCTTTTCCGACAACCAGGACAGACCAAATCGCTGGAATTCGGCATTTCGTCGGCGAATTTTACCTTCATGCGTTGCGGCTTCGCCATCACTGATGATCCTGAATTTTTACAACCGCTCCCTATTCGGTTCACAGAGTTCTCGACAAGTTTATCGATTCCAGTTTAGAAGCGATCTCAACGTTATCGGTTTCAAACCTTAAAAATACTTTAAGAGCTAATCAAAGAAGGGATTAAACAAATTCGACGCTTGTTTGTCGAATCATCCGTGACAAGTGTCAACTATATTGAAATTTTGTTTTTTTGACAGTAAAAACAAAAGGTCTCTCTTTGACAAGTTGGCGAAACTTTGCAAAGAATACAATAACTCTTTCATTAAGTGACTTAATCATCCGTAACTGTTGTAGTGACTTAAAAGTCACTCTTTTTTACAAACAATTTGTCGAAGGGTTAGAGCTCTCCGTTTTAAGGCAATATTTATTTTCAAATGATCATAAACTACCTTCGCATGTTTTACCAACAAAACATTCAAAGCCGTCAAATCTCGTTAAGCACAGCCCTACGGCAATTTTATGCAACAACTGTGAGCGAAGTTTTCAATCTACCTTTTCTCTTGTTTTTCTCGTTGTGATTGTAGAAATTTAACCTTTAATTTAATTTATATTCCCAAAAAGTAAATTTTCAAAACAGCAAACAATGCACTTACTTTACATTCTTGATAAAAAATAGTTATTGGTGGAAATTTGCTAAGCAGGGGGTACCTTTTCGGTTTTGATGTTTTGAAATTCACATTAAAATAAACTGAAAGCCGGCGAATTGTTTTTTGAATTGATGTCAGTTTCATTTCAAACTCTTTCC